TTCCAAATGATGCCAATCCAATTGCATTGGAGAGTTAACTCACTCAGAGCACGCAGGGAACTAGTCTTGATGAATTCCATTGAGTAGATCTTTTTTTAGCTCCTCCCAAAGTAGAAGCTGTGACAGTGGACTGGTTTGAAGTCCAAATCCTCTGTTTTGCTCCATAATGCACCTTTTGACCTAAAATGACTCTTTGCAGTATAAATCCATAAAAAATACCTTTTAAGACAAGAATCCGGGTTGACGAGCTATTTCCCCCTTAAAACTATCATATATCACCAAATCCTCATGAAGTTTGAACATCGGTCTAATTCCACATCGTTTAATAGTTCTCAGTCGATTTCCACACCAGTAAATAGTTCTCTATCGATTCTCACACCAGTAAATAGTTCTCTATCTAATCCCACACTGATTTCAAAACTTTCGGTTATTGTTTAAAAACCAAATGTAAACTGACCGAATTATTTTTAAACCAAAAATCAAAGCCCGATTTCATAAAGAAAAACCCGACCCTTAAAATTTAACCAGAACAACACAAATTTCCCAAATTCTTGAATTAATTTCTTTTCATTTGCCCTAAAAAGCTTAAAAATCTGGGTTTTATAAATCGAAGTTGAAAGTTGGAAGTTTCTAGGTGGCTTACGCGTCTATCGTGTCAAGACCGGTGGCGGAGATTGCTGTTCCGGCGGTCATGGACTTTGGTGGTTGTTTTGATTGCTTTTATTGGGAAATTGAGAAGAGATTTGGTTATTGAAACTCCTAAAACCACAGAAGAAGTGTTACGATTTATGCTTAATGTTATTCTATTTTTATTAGAAAATAACGTATTCTTATTGTTCATCAGTCACAATTTCATCAGTTCATGAATCATTAGCATCCTTGTAGATTGTGTCGAATTTAATCAAAATTCTGCAAGTAATTGTTTGCTGTCTAATGCTGGGTTCGTGGTTAAACAGTACTCGTGTCCAATAAACTAAATCAAAATAAAAGCAGTGTTTTCGATGGTTCGAGCTTTATTTGTTCGTGACTTAGTTTGATGATGTACTGAATTTAAATCAAGAAGCCGATTTCTCTATTTGGATTAATTGATTTTGGAAGGATTGATTTTAAATATTTTCAGAACCCAGAATTCGAAGAACGGGTGGAGAAGAAGAAGATCGGGTCGATTTTTTTATTTATCGGACCAAGTTAGAATATGGTTTCATTTCGGTTTATGAATTATTTGGTCGGTTTACATTTGGTTTTTAAACAATAACCGAAACTTTTAAAATCAGTGTGGGATTAGATAGAGAACTATTTACTGGTGTGGGAATCGATAGAGAACTATTTACTGGTGTAGAAATCGACTGAGAACTATTAAACGATGTGGAATTAGACCGATGTTCAAACTTCATGGGATTTGGTGATATATGATAGTTTTAAGGGGGAAATAGCTCGTCAACCCCAAGAATCCACTAGAAAACCATTAGAAAACCATAGTAAAATAGTATAAAAGTATGTAAAATAGAGGTATATCAGATGGGTCAATTCTCTACCACCTCAGTCCATTACAACATGGAATGAATATAAGGGAGCATTCTTAAACCAATTCTACACAAACCAAAGATCCAACTCTATAAGGAGCAAGATATCCGGTTTTAAGCAAGCACCAATGGATTCTTTCTATGAAGCATTGAAGAGATTCAAGGAGTATACAAGAAGCTGCCCTAACCATGGTTTCTTTGAAGGTAACCTTTGGAAAATCTTTTACAATGGGATTGATCATAAATAC